TTGTGCTCCGGAGATAATAGAATGGCTTTCTTGTTCTGGGCCAGATGCTTCACCAGACCTGACGAAGTTGTTTTGCTGAGTACAGTTGAGGTTAGGTCTGAAGCTTCTAGGGGATCTTGGGCTGCGTGCTGTATCGCAGACGATTTTCCTGTTGTAGAAACAAAAAGTCTTGTTTATGAAAAGGGCCCTTAAAAATAAGGGTTAAGTTAGAATTAGCAAGAGGTTTGCAAGACTAACCAAATACGATCTAACCCATGTAAGCCGTTGTCGAACGGAGGAAAAAAATAGGAAATTTTTGGTTAAGGCATCGTAAAACCAAATATACAAAAAAAAAAAAAAAACTGGCCAAATTTGTTTCAGATTAAGCAGATGCAACCTCTGCTGGAGACCCCAGCAGAACCACAACAACTTCGTAAAGGATCCTAGTCAACCATAAGACATTGCGCGTTTAGTCAGCCATTTCCTATGTTATCTAAATTTGTGAAATTTCCATTAATGGTTTATCAGTCACGTGCATCCGAGCAATTTAAATATATGAAGGTCCTTAAAAACGTGTAGTCTCAATTCTTTGTCTCATGAAAGGTAGTGTTACTTCTGGATGTAACGCAGCATTTCATCTTAAAAAATCTTTCTACCAAAAGTTAACGGATAAGTCTTAAATAATAAAGGATTCATACCACTCTTTGTCTTAAATGTTCTCACATCTGGTTCACTATCTCCTTGTTTGTTGACAGCAAATAGTTTCACTTCATATTCTGAGTCGTACTCAAGACCAGTAATCCTGAAGTGAGTTTCCACAATGTTTCCTTGTTGAAACATTTCTGTGGACGCTGTATAGGGTTTCTTTTTCCACTCCAGACGGTAGTTTGAGTTAAAATCACTGATATTGGCCACTGCTGATGACCAGGTCAAAACAATCTCCTTTTCAACTTCCCTGTCTGTATTTTCAATGGTTGGTTTGCCAGGTAAACCTATTAAAATGTAGTTTTTGTTTGTTTTTTTGTTTCTAATAAACTATGTAAAATAGATTATATTATGGATCGATGATATTTTAACAAGATATTTGATGTTAGTCACTCTTAACTTGCCCCCAACACTTTATTGAAATTGTTTACCATTTTTTGTTTCTTCTTCGAGAGCTCATTGAAAAATAAAAACTACAAAATGTTGTTCTTTCTTATATTTGCATTTTTTTCAGACAAAGTGCAAGTTTTCATCTAGAAAGCATCCATGTGTTACAATAAACAAAAAGGTTCTGAAAAGAAGTGACAAATATCAAATTACATGAATTTAATTAGGTACACACCAGTCTTTGTCTTAAATGTTAAGACCTCTGGCTCACTTTCTCCATGTCTGTTGAAGGCAAAGAGTTTCACTTCATACTCTGAGTTATACTCAAGATTGGTAATTTTGAAGTGAGTTTCATCGGTGTTTCCTTGCTGGCAAAGTCTGCTGGATGCTGTCAAGGGTTTCTTCCTCCATTCCAGACGGTATTTAGGGCTGCCATCAGTGCAGTTCGCATTTGGTGCTAACCAAGTTAGAGTGAACTCCACATCCACTTCATCCTCTTCTTTTTGGATGGTTGGTTTGTCAGGTAAACCTTTGAACATTATTGATCGAATCAGGATTTGTAATTCCTCTTCTGATGGATACATTTGTTGCAATATATCTTTGAGGTTATTAACCATAGACCTAATACATTGACTATTTGTCTTGAATAATCATCTCTTTAACAAATTATATCTATGTAAACTATCCATTAGAATTATGACAATGAGACTGAACAAAAGAGTTACATCACGTGTATTTTCTATACTCCTTGAACCCTTTCATTATACTTTGCTCTCATCTCATCTACCTTTAATTTGATTTGCCAGTGGATGATTCCTCTTTTATTACTTCTACACAATTCCTTGTGTCTGGGCTGCAAATGATCAAAGTACACTACAATTCAACTCACCTAGGATGTCTTCCACTCTTGATTTCTTGAACCAAACTGGATTAAATGTATGTTGCCCCTCATTAGCCTCAAAATTTAGAATTCCAACTGCTTTCGTGTTCCTCTCACCTTCTTCCAGTAAAACTGTCGAGCAGCAGTCTGCAGGGCTGGGTGGGCGACTACCATCATTTTCGGGAACAAGTTTTCCATGAATATATTTGTAGCGATTACTTTCAATAAAACAGAACAGGGGTTTGCTTTCCTTCACGCCTATCTTGGGTTCAAGATCCTTTAAGACTTTGCATTGCTTGCGTCCAGATCGGCCATGGTTTAGCACAGAAGACTCTGAATCAACAAAAATCACAACCAATCCAGAAGTGTCATAGAATGGACTTTTCTTGATGATACTTCCCAACTGGAAACATTTTGATTTTGAATTTGATTTTGCAAACTCCACTTGT